GTATTTAACAATGTCAATATGACGGTAATGCAGAACCTTGCGTTGAAAATGTTTGTCCCATTTCATATAAGGGCCTTGACTGATAATTTTTTTTTCAAAATATTATTTCTGAGAAATTTGAAATTCAAAATTATTTATTTTATTTCTAGCTCCACTCGACTCTCCAAGTCTTCACACCCCTTGGTTAGTATACCCACCCGCACTACCATCATCAGTCTGATTCTGTTTCTCTCGTGACCTCAGACTTCAGAAATCACGCCTAATGGTAGTTCCCATGGACAACGTGACAGGGTGACAAATCTTGTTACTTATAACAACGTTGTTTCTGTTGCGTGGCAGTCATTCGGATAAAAGGGATGTAAAGTATCCACAAAAAAAATTACACACAAACATTACATATGTCAGCATTGAGTATACATCTTTTTTGGGACTATCTATATTTCCATAGTTGAATGTCGCCCGACCTGCTCCTGACATTATAATTTAAACTCGTTGTCTTATGACAGGTTCTTAAAGACAGTGTCATGCGGTTTGCTGATGGACACATTTCAACAAACGCAGGAGACAAATCGCGTTTGTTCAAGCGTCCTATTTGACCACTGTAAATTAAAAAGAAAACTGCGCATCGAGTTATTATTAATTTATTATCGGCAGTTTATCAAGTGTTTACGTTAAATAGTGTGTAAATATAATTTTTGGCAATTACTTAGAGTTTGTTATATAAATTATTCTACTGCAGCTTCGCTTTTAATTTTTTGTTGTAGCGCCCTGGAAAGACTAGGATTCGATATCTAGAAGGGACAAGAATTTGTTTGTCGCCTTCTCTAAAGCCAACCCAGCCTCGAATCCGTTAGTTATTGAATGTTATTTCCAGAATTAAAGCTATCGGAGCATTAAGCTCAACATTCACATCCATCTAATAGAGAGGACACCTCCTTCATGGTGTGGTATTTCGGCTCACGGACTTCATGGTGTATCCAGTAATTCTTATACTGCCCCAGGATGTCCGTATGTGTCTGTATATGATAATTCCTCTATTCTGGACAAGTCACCAAGTCCGGCTTCAAATACGAGAAAGCATCTGCGTTCTTTCTCAGGACAGTATCAGATGCATTACTGCGTCACCAGGTCCGTGACTTACCCACTTAGGGTGCTTGTGAGACGTAGTAAGTTCCGGACGGACGCAGTGAGAGGTACCCAAGATCCGCACTCAATATTCTCATGACTCATCATCATTGATGTCATTACTTCATCAATTGGTTTCGTCAAATTGCGTTCCAAACTTGTTCATATTTTATAGTTTATCTATTCAGTTTAATTTTTTCTTGCACTAATTTTCTTTAAATTATAGACCCAATTTATTTCATAATAAACCGTTTTGCTTAGTATATTAAAAACATTAATTTTTATTTAATGATTTTATATCTAATATGATCATATCTCATGTGACCTAAAAAGTAATAAAATCCTACTGACATTATTTCAGCTGATTCAGTGAATTTTTAACCTTGTTCAGAGCCTTAGAGTTTAGTTTACACAAAGAAGTTGTTTACAGCATAGAACAGACTCAAAATATCGAACTGGGAAAATCGTGGAAGTGAACGACCCTGAAATAATCTAATATATTGCCGAAACACTTGTCTTGATGATTTAGGAAAAATTATGGAGTAGCCACTTCTCCGACGGTCAAACCGGCGATTTCCCAAATACAACAAAGTAATATTACACACTCAACAGCAATGTTTTCCTCATTATTTTAACCATACAAAAATGATTAATATAACTTGCTCTTAGTCATATAAGGACGTATTTAGTGGAGAGGTTATTCCACACATGACAAGTCAAGAAATTTCTAGACAGGTATTAAAGATGTGATTTGTTAGTCGCTTTACAAAACGTTCAATTCGGGATATTTTTTTTACTGTCTGCTGCCTAAAATCCTAAACATTGAAGCATAAAATCTGTAATTTTACCTGTTGTTCTATAGCGGTGTAAAAAGTTCGTCTCTTGTCCTGGAGGAAGAGTAGATTTAGGGTCTTTGAGAACAAAGTACTGAGAAAAATATTTTGACCTGAGAGTGATCAGAGATATTTAAGTACGAAGAGCTTCATAATTTGTAAACTTCACCAAATAATATTAGAGTGATAAAATCAATTAGGATGAGTTGGCGGGACATGTAGCATGCATGAGGAGAGGAGTAATGCTCAAAACATTTTAGTCGGACAGTGTGGACTGGATTCAACTGGCTAAGGCTATGTTCCAACGTCTGCTTCTTGTGAACATAGTAATGAATCTTAGGACAGAAATTACCTCAACAATTGTTCATGCAAAGAAAGTACGAAAAACTGATACAGTGGAAGGACGTTTGCGATATATCTCGAATTATAAATAGATTAATAAAGAAGTGGGGTAATACGACGCAAAAGTAAGTCCAACGTGAGGTTTTTGTTTCCTCCATCATCGTCCTGGTGATGGAGGCAGCAAGGACCTCTGTAACGTTGGTAAACTTCTACCACGCTAATTCCCATAGGGTGTCATATACACCAGTGATCACTGATAAAAGGAGCATCGCCCTTTCATGTGATATTGCTTTTTCCTTCCTGTTGACAATTCTTAGCCGTGGCCTAGTAAACCAGTCAGTCACACACTGACATACATTTTCATAATTAACATCAGGTGAATCTAGATTATTTTTGGGAATTCAGAAGCTTTATATATATATATATGAACGTTAACGTATGCGAAAATCAATAATTTTAGGTGTTCCGTGAACTCGTTTTTAAATCTCAAACTTGAAACTCTCTTTACGTCATTGAACATCTGTTTTCAACGCCTGGTCGAGTAGTTAACACTTCCTTCTTATTCGGGAGTCCCAGTTTCAAATCTCGACCCGGAGATCGGCTTTCCTGCCTGGGGTTTCGTGGTTTTAGTCAATCCTTCCAGGCAAATGTCGGAATCTACACCCTTTCCAATTCATTATTCACTATCATCCTCACATTCGAAGCTATATAGTATGAGCTTCTGAAAAAGCGTTGTTAAATAAACTATAAATGAATGTTCTTTATTGAGGTTTCGAAACATCTTTCTTTTTACGGTGCAAGGTTATTAGCCTGGAGAACCAGGTTGGGGTTGAGGAGAATTGAGGAGGCCATGGACGGAATACGGACAGAAGAAGAAGAAGAAGAAGAAGAAGATTCTTTATATGACACCTAACTCCTTCACTGCTGTAATTCTACCAGAATTATAGTCCACACTAGCATGAGGTACTGCTTCCTTTCTGCATCTGATGCAATTACACAACAACCGTCACGCGACAGAAAGAAAATAAAGGTCTTGGGGGGAAAAACAGAGAAGTGCAGATAAAGAGACAGTTTATAACAAGCTGCTTGATTTTATAATTTTTTTTTTATCTCTAACGTGTCTAATTTGCCAATAGTATTTCTTTCCACGTTTTAATAAATCTGAATATTATGACAGGTGTAAGAGAGTGCATTTTAACACATTGCGATAATGACTGCAAGCGTTATAAATTATCTCAACTGGTGTAACTCGATTTACATATAAAACTTATTGTACACGCCGATACGCAGCCAAGAAATTCAGTTGTATGTCTGACTATCCAAGAAGCCCTTAAAGTGCTTGTTCAACGGACTCCAGCCTATCGGTATTTATTCGCGCACAAGTTTCTTTCCATTCGTTGGCAATATTAGTTGCTTTTCTACATGACATTAACCACGCTTGGTTAGGATACAACATTGAATTGATTCGATATATCACTAAATATAGCCAACATGCCAAGAAGGGGATTTCAGTTACCAATACCTCAGAATTACATCAAGCAATGAATTCAGTATAGTTGGTAGTACGTATAAATGACTTTGGTTTACCCCCACCATCCTATTAATAACAAAGTAAACACACTTTCAATTAATCAAGTTCAAAACATATTAAAAGATGATTTCTTTTAATAAACTTTGGGATCATTAAATCGAGTATTTTCAAGTATCGACTAACAAAGGAAACTACTTTGTGTCATTAGGCCTGTACCGAGTCCACACTCAAACTTCACGTGTTATTTTATCCTAAGTTGGCTGCGCATATTTTCCGGACCACAATTTAGAAACATAAAAACATTGATCTAAGCAATTATTATGTTTTATTACTTACTTCCAAAATCCTCACTGGATATCTGTTTCAATACACTGAACACAAATCTCAGGCTGGCAATGCTGATGAACTGAGAATATAACACCACAAGAGAAACACCAGAAAACATATATTTGCTCACAAAGCTTTAAAACCACGCTCTAACAACACACCATCTTTCCCTGGAGTTGAATACCAACATGACATATAACGGCGCAAAATTTATAATCACTCCAGCGGAGTATTGAACAGACAATGGAAGTAGAAATGATCAGAGACTTGTTTAATTTTGTTAAGTCTACTTTTGACGCATTGCCGGCACCATTTCTGATATTGTATAGAAAGCCTGGGAAAACTATGAAACCAAAACAATCCATACTTTGCCTTAAGGTTAGGGACATTTTATACAACTCCCAGCAATAGCAAATCCTGGTCTATAAGTCAAGCAGTGTTGAAATGTAACATCATTAAATTTCCCCAACAATCGCACCAAAGTTCCAATGTATTTTAATGATAACAATGGTATTATGGTGCTGTTGTGTTATGTAGCAAAATATTTAATATTCCTCTAATTTTACTGGTCTGATGGGGTAGCAATTATTGTACTTACAGTTACACTCTATTGATAGTTGCGTGCCATCTGTCAACGATAGAGTGAAGTACGGTCGCAATTCTCTGCAGTACCAATAGTGCAAACAGAAGTTACCCTAGTTACTTTCTTTTTTACAATATGTATAATGTAGGCCATGGTCAGTGTGGAGACGAGAAATTGACACTCCAAATATATTATTGCTCATATAATTTTTACCTTGTATCTTTGTTATTACGTCTTGTACATACATTAAACCATTAAAAGAATTTAAATTATAAACTCTTCATGCAGTTAATTATTCTTTTATTAACACAATGTTACATTATTGTGAATCATAATATTAAGTAAAATGTGTATCTGTAAATTCGCCATATGACAGACTGAAGGTGGTAAAGGTTGTCGGCTAGAGATTAGAAAGAGAACTGTCGGAAAATAAGAGCGGTGATAAAAATTAAAATAAATTTGTGTCTGTTTCAACAACAGGATTTCAGTCCCTTGAAACATCAACCTTGAATTTAACAAACTCGTGATACAATGGCTGGTAGTCCAGTTGTTATAGCTGCAACAGCAAAGCATACTGCAACAGTAAGCGAAATTCTTTCCTCTTCATTTACTCTCGACGTGTAGATCAATGTATTGACATTGCAGTGCCGTTATTATTTGTTTGTACTGTTTGTACTTCAAACAATTATTTAACATGTAAGACACGCCAATGTAGTCAGTGCTTAATAATTTTACGGTTGATATTTTTTGTACTCTTCCTGCTTACTTATTTATCAATTTGTTTAAAATTAATTTGTTTGGAATACAGATTTGCTTAATAACATACTGTACTTTTTCGTATTTTAGCTTATTTTCCTTCATGGACTTGGTGATACAGGGTAAGTTTAAAACATCTCTCTTCTCCATGATTGCAGTGCATTGGTTTTATATATATATATTTGTGTGTGTGTGTGTGTGTGCGCGTGTGCTTTCTAGTGCATCTCATTTACTGAAGTTAAATTCTGCAAGGGTATGTTGTGATTTCGTTTTTCAGTCATGGCTGGGCAAGTGCTATGGGGGCCATCAGACCATCCCACGTGAAAGTTATTTGTCCTACAGCGTAAGTTTTAATTTATTTGATATATCATTAGAAATATAAAAACATGTGTATGTGAATAATGAATATCATTATCAGTAGTAGGTACCTACATAAACCAGTTTCTGTTCCATTCCAAGCTTTATGAATTGGTATATATTGAATAAAATGTCCATGGACTGGGTTAAATGTTATCATCTATGATATGTCAGAACAAAATTAACAAGGTTTTTGTGTTAATTTCTATTGAAAGTATCATTATTGTTACATAGAAATGGTGATGTTCTTTATTTATATATCTTTTCAGGCCCACAATGCCAGTGACATTGAATGCAGGATTTAGAATGCCATCGTGGTAAGGAAATGTTTTTTTATAAAATTTTCATAACAATTGTCTTTTGTCTCCAATTAATATCTTTTATAAGGATGTCAGCAGTTGTGTCCAGAGGCCGTGTATTTTGGGGGGAAAGAGAAAATGGTAGAAATGTTTAAGCTAAATTGTAAATGGTTTTATGAAATTAAATAACTATGATTCCAAAGTATTTTACTTCTAACAACACATTTAATTCAGCTTCACTAAACACTTGTCCTTCAAATAAAATTGCACATGTATTTCTGTAAAGCACTGATTTATTTTAGTAAGTATATTATGCATATTCTCAACCTTGCAGAGAACCTGTTAAAATTGCCCTGTCTATATGCATGTCAATTCTGGATAATAGTCAAACATATTTTAATTACATTTTATATTGTGGATGTTTTGCTACAATTTTTCCACACATTTCCAGTTTTATTAAGATTGGATGACAATAACAGGGACTTTGCATGAAGGTGTACATGCCTGTTTGCATGTGAAAATGACTGAATGAGGAATTCCCAGCTGAAACATTTCAATACGGGAGGTTCTTGTAATACTCTTAAAGGTCAAATATTAGCAAATCCACCAGAAATATGCTGTACATACATTTACTGTCTTGTTTAGCTGTACTAATGGCTGCATGGATCACAGAAAGATAAAGACACTTGGTTCATTATGTTTCCAAACGATGACAGAAGCAGTCTATTTAGTTTCAACATTGTGTAATGGTCTCTTACGCACCATGTCTGGATTACCAGCAGAGGATCTAAGTGATAAATTTGTAAAGTTGGGGCTCCTACAGCATTGGAGGGACAAGGATTTTGTGTAAATAGGATATAGTAAAGATGATAAATTTGTAAAGTTGGGCTCCTACAGCAGTGGAGGGACAAAGATTTTGTGTAAATAGGATATAGTAAAGAGACCTGGGCAAAGTGGGCAGAATTTGATATCAGTGACTAATGAAACATCAGAGTTAAGTGTCTGAAACATGGTATGGAGACAGATCATAAACATACCCACAGATGATGCATGAAACATTTTTTTTAATCTTTTAGGTTATGTGTGACAAATTCAGATAGTACTAGTTTGTTAGTTCAACATATCCGAAATGAGGATGTACTGAATATTTATTTAAATGTCTAAGACTCCATGGCAAACTGACACTCAGGTTTGTGATCTCCTGTACCAATCAATATGTTTTATTATGTCCATTCTCTCTTTCATCCTGGATAAGAGTTTAGGAGTAATAAAGCAATTTTGTTCCCATTCATCCCTGTAACAACAGATAAACATTCTTTTTTTCCTCTCTCTCCAGGTTTGATCTGCGTACACTGGATGCAAATGGGCCAGAGGATGAGGAAGGGATCCGTCGAGCGACAGAACTCGTCCACACAATGATTGAACAAGAGATAAAGGGTGGAATTGCCTCAAATCGCATTGTGATTGGAGGGTTCTCACAAGGAGGGGCTCTAGCACTATATTCTGCTCTACTGTTTCCCAAACCTTTGGCAGGAGTGATAGCTTTATCATGTTGGTTACCTTTACATAAGCATTTTCCAGCAGTAAGTATATACTAAAGATTAAACCATGGTGAAAATAGTTTATGTTATTGTATGCACTGGTATTACCAGAATTATGAAGTTGGACTTCATTACGTTTAATGACTGATGTCAGATTAGTGTGAAAATGCTTCAGTACATCACATTTACATTTAAAAAACACAACAGGTCTTCCCTTGCTTTGTATAAAAATGCCATTGTAATTTTGCACAAACCATGGAATTGTTTTGAAAGTTTGGTAGTGCAATACCCACTTGGTATCATGTACACTGGTCTCATTTTATTTAGCAGTAGTTTCAGTTGTTGCAATGGAAATACACATTACAGTGTCTACCTGGTTACTGATAATTTTATTTCCCTAAACTGGCGAAGTACAACTTGGAAGCAGTGTATAAAATGTATTATATTATTTTGGTAGCAAAAGCATTGTCTGCCAATAGACAGATTGTGTCACAGAACTCTTTAGGTGGTTGTTTTGAACACAGTTTGAGAAACACTGATCTAGATGGTTGTCAGTGCTTTGGGGGAACCCATAATCTCCATCTTAAGAATAGAGTGTTACACTCTGAATAGTTTCTGCAGATTAAAAGCAGTGATTATTATTTATTATAGTGTTTGTTGTTACAGGCTGCAATTGGCAATGTAGACATTCCATATATTCAGTGCCATGGAGACTGTGACCCTGTTGTACCATACAAATGGGGACAGATGACTGCATCCCTTATGAAACAGTTTTTAAAAGAAACTGAATTTAAAACATACAGAGGAATGATGCACTCATCATCTGATGAAGTGAGTTTTTAAAGAATTTTTTGTTAAGTCATACTTGACCAGCTGTACGAAACAAAGTCCTTCGGATGTTGATGGTCATTTAGATGACAAAATTTCCTCCTGCCTTTTATGATATATGTAAGTTCAGTACCATGTTGACATCCTGCCACTGGACCAAACATCCAGTTCATAGCCCTATGCAATATTTCGTAACATGATAGTTTCTTGTGGTGAGAGACTGTTAGACCTTTGACCTTTGTTTGATGTCTGCAACTATGTGTTCAACATATTTGCAAGTGTCCTCCATATCCTAAGGATGTCTTCTCCATCCATAACCTGAGGACGTGCCATCATGTGGTGACAAGCAATCCATGTGTAGTCATATCTTTACTGCAATTGGCAAAAGGACTGTTAAAACAATGATTTCTATATATTGTTCAGGGCTTTGAAACATGATTTGGCTCTTTTAGTGCCTGTTGGCACTGGAGAAACCATGTAGATGGTTTCAAAATTTATTATAGCTCTGGCTACTGATGGTAATTTCACACATTTTGTAGTGACAAGACTGATTCTGTTTGAAAGTAACTGGGAAGGAATCTAGAGTTTACACTGCTGCAGCGAGTAGGGCTCCAGAAATAGTATTTAAATATACTAATCACATAAGACAACTCACTCTCCAATTTACTAGACATATTTTTTATACAACTCTGCTAACTCACCTGTGTGGTGAGTGGCTGCTGTATTTCTTGAGCCCTGCGAGCAAAGAAGTTTGTAATGGTACTCTGACAAGGAGGTCAAAATAAATTAATTGACTCATCACCCTGAAACATCAGTAATTTCTACCGGACTACATGGCGCAACAGCCCAGAAGTCTTCACTACTAACGTTAAAGATCACCATTGGAAATTATCCTGAGTCTGTTTTGTTTACATCACATCCTCACAACCCATCTTCCTAAGTATGTGTTGTAATATTTTTTACAGAAACTGTTAATTAAGTTTACTTTTTATTTTCCAGGAAATGCGAGATCTAAAGAATTTCCTCAACATAGTTATTCCACGAGTATAAATGAGAGTAGTATCTGAAGCTGCAAGTTGTTAACATGGAATGGTAGACTGACAGATGCTACTGGCATGGTGGCAGATGTCAGGATGTCTGGTATCACTTTTTTTTAACAGCTCATCTATAAGACTCAAGAATTCCTGTCCGTTATTTATTGATAACAGAAAAGCAGGCCTTTTTATCCTCCCAACCCTTTGTTCCTATGTCACAAATTACCAGTCTTTAAATGTTATGTCATCTCACAAACCGAACCAAGTATAATAATGAAATGAATACAAATTTTTAAAAAATGCAGTGAATAAACATTTGTATAATAATAAAATCATACAATAAAAATGATGTATGAAATATATAGTATATAGGATATATATTTTTCTTCCAAAGAAAGCGTAGGTGAGAGTTACCATTTGGCACCACACACATGTAAAGACAGAAAAACGTTGGGCTAGTCTAGTTTTGTTCAGAAGTTGCCTTTGCATTAATTAGATGTATAAAACAATTCTGAGTGAATTTGTACAAAATCATAACAGCAGTTTATACAAATGGCAGTACATCTGAATATAGTCAGTCCTTTTTGTTGTGGAGAGTTAGTGCTATATGTTACACCTTTTGTATCAGCACATTGAATAATAATTTGTTCTTCCATATTTACATTTTGTAGCATTGCTTTGATATTAGTCGTAAAGCAGGTGGTGGTTTTTTAAAAGAAATTAATATGTCGTGAAAAATGTGTTTCACATGGTTTTCAAAAGTACTTGCAGGTTTTAAAACTAACTCTTCCATTATTATAGAGCTGTGGGTACTTGAAACAAGTTGACAATATGCAGTATAAGGTTTTGATGATTAAAAACCAAGAGCAGTAGAGATAATTCAGGGGTGGAAAATTGGTCTTGCTGGCAGGACTTCTTTGCTCTTGAGGGTGTTTACTTTGTGCAGTTTTCATGCATCTAGTCAGTAGTTTGTTTTTGTTCCTTAAACCTATGAGAATATTTCATTAAACATCAAACCATAGTACATCTTTATGACTTTAACCTTGTCATTTGTTTTAACACATACATGATGGGCATGCAGTTTTATATTTCTGTGGTTCTCACAAATAGAATGTAGGAACACAAGAAACTTATTTTTACAACACACCAGATTTTAAAGCTTGCAGTTGATCTATTTTTTCTTAATTTTAATCAGTAGCTGATGGATGTTATTTTTGGTAGTTTTATAAACAAACAATTATCTTAATAAGTTAGACAAGAACTACCACAAAATGCTATTTGAAATTCAATGAAGAATGATTTTTTTATATCTTCATCATTCTACCTCTACCTCTTTCCTCTTCTTTATCCCTTTCATACCTTTACTTCCTTCCATATCCTTTTCCCACCCTTTTCAACAAGATATGAGCCTTAACATTGTTTTAACAGTTACCAACATTAGAAGTACCTCTAAATGCTGTCTAATGATTGCAGCATTTGTAAAATGAACATTTTTCATCATTACTGATAACAGTGTTACGTGGTATGTTATTTGAACATTTCCCCCAAAGTCCACACCCATCTCTTTGAGCATAACTAAACCAGCTGGATTTTGCAACATTCAGATTAAAATTAAGAACATTTAAAAATGACAGAAGAGTTTCTCTTCCTTTCTGAGCAAATTTCTCTACACAATGAAAGCAGTCTTGATAAATTTCAAGGTAAAAGTGGCAGTAGCATCCAGGGACTCTGGAAATGCATACAGAGAATTCAGTTGCTGATCATTTGATGAAAGTACATATCATGCATACTGAAGAGCTAGGTGTTCTTTCGTCTTTCCTTCTATCCATGGTGCATTCCAGAACTAAGTACTGTTTTGCTATATTACTGAAAACAGAGAATATAAACCTTGTTCACATTTTAGCATATTTTCCCTCCCTTTATACATACTTGACATGTGTGAACCCAAATTAAGAAACATTTCAGAAATCTACTTTAGTGGTGTTTTTTTTCTAGCTGGTAGATTTCTTTCTCCAGTGCAGTTATTGGTTTTGTTGATAGTCTGTCCCTCAGAGAATCTTTCATCTCCAGGAACAGCTAGAAGTCAGACAGAATTAAGTGAGATGAGCTGGGTTGGTGCAAGACCACCTTGGCTCCTTTCTTCAATAAAAAATAAAATGTGTATTAAGTAGGAAGTTTCAGAACCACAAACACATCAGTGATGAAGATTTCTGTCTTCTGGGTTATTGCGCTGTGAGAACCTCAAGTCTTACACATCAGTGATTGTCTCACAGTTCAGGCAAACTGAGACTTGCACTGGGAACAGTAAAAATATAGAGGTAGTCTGTGGCCAATTTGTAATCTGGTTATAAAATGTTTAAAAAAGCAAGTGATCATATCTTGCATTTGGAATACATTGTGTAATATGTGTGAAATCATTGTCCACTTGAAGGAGCTACTCATTCAGCGAACATCTTGGGATAGAAACTTGTTTGGTATTTTTAAGGAAATTTAATAATCTTCAGTGAAATTCATGAAATGTTATACAACACAGTTCATGTAATTTTGAGACTTGACAGGCAGGGTTTAGTTCCAAGCAGGTTCAGGATTTTTTTGGTTACCACCACATCTAAAGAAGCTCTGAGTACTGCCCTTTTTCTTTGGGACTAAAGTGGCCAAAGCATGAAGCTGATCACTAACTTTCATCTAGTTCCAAATTTAAAGGTTTGTGAATCTGTTTCCATTCCCCTAATATACCATCATTGCTTCTGCTTGGGCACTGGGAAAGCTTTGCCCTTTTAGTTTAAAAATAATGAGGACACTCACCAGTATAGAGCCTTATAGCACTAACTAGTATAGGTGACTTTCATTATCCACATTTTCACATATCCACATGAATTCCACAAGGTTAGGGTGAGTCAGACTTACAGCCTGTTAGAGTTAAAGTTGCATGCCAGTTTTCATTTCCTCATTAACTCACTGCTGTGGATATTTCCTTTCAGTTAAGCATAAATCTGGTTTACAAAATAAAATAATAATTGCACTCTTCAGTCAGTCTCCCTTCTTTGTTCTCACTTGTTTGTAGTAGGGGTGCTGTTTGATATTAGAAATATTCATCAAGTCTACAATTTTCTTTGGCCACAGTATACATTCCTATATAAAAATAATTGTTTCATCTTTGTCTTGCATGTTCCTGGATTTATTCAGTCGTGAGAACACCCTTCCTAGCATTTTCTGTTGTATTTTTGTCTGCCTGAGGGG